TATAAAAATAATAAAGTAAAATAAAATATATCAAATAACTTATTCTGAAATAATAAATTAAAGTAAATACAAATATTAAATTAATATAATGAAATAAAAGAATATAGATTATCAAATACTTGTAATATGATTCACTCTTACATACATTATGAATGGAAAAATTTGAAATAAATTATAATTTTTTAGTAAATGATTTTAATTGTAAATAAATTTTATTTAGTAAAATTCATTAAATTTTATTTCATTTTCTTTTTTTTTTTTTTTTTCCAACGATATAACAGCTCCATTAATCGACCCAAAACGGGCAATGTCTTACAAGGGAAAAACCCCAATTCTGGGTAACTGAGAGACTAAGCCATCATATGCTTGTCTAAACAACATACAACACATCTAATACTCTTCAATAACTCTCTAAAGGAACAGGCCAAGACCTAGAATCATTAAGCATAAAAACAAGGAACCTAGCTATGAACTTACAAACTGGCAAACCTACAACCAAGCCAGAACAAATATACACAAGTACATAACCCACTGACACAAAGACCTAGGCTAGGCACTTCAGCAAAACTGTTACTCCTTGTTGTTTCTGGATTTGAAGTCGAGCCAGTCCTTCAAAGCAGTCTTGATGACCCATTCTTCCAGATGCCACTGACCTTCAAACACCCACAAGTTTCTAGCTCTCCAAAGCCACCACAGGATGTAGGTGGAGAGTTGGATCCTGTCCACAGAGATATCATCATACTTCATTGTACTTATCCACCACCACTATTGTTTAAAAGACATTTGTTCTGACTGCACTCTGTTCCATCGGACTGGAGCAAGCTGCCAAACAGTTCTAGCTTTCCTGCATAAGGAAAGGATGTGCTCCTCAGTCTCTGAACTCTCCCCACAAGCTCCACAAATGTCCTCAACCTTAATTCCTCTTTTATGCAGATTAGAGCTAACAGGAAGAATGTTAGAAAAAGCTTTCCAAATAAAGTGTTTAATTTTTCCCATCACCTTAAGCTCCCAAAACCTCCTTCTAGCTCTTCTATTACCACCAGCTAAGGCACTGCACTCAGCCACTGCACATGAAGTCATCTTAGCACTCAGAAGCTTGGCACAAGCTTTATTTACTGAGAATTTTCCCTTCTCCACTAGCTCACATTGCCTTTTATCAGCCACTCTGGGATTCAAGGACTTAATTTGTAGAATCTTTTCAGCAGCCTCATGAGTAAACAAAGCCCTGATCAGAGAGTTGTCCCACTGAACACCACCCGCAATGAGTAGGTCTTTCACCTTGAAAACATTACTATCAACCTCCATTCTGAGCTCAGTTTACTACTGTGTAGACCAGACACCCAATTAGGCTCATTCAGCCTAGTATCCTCACCATTTCTGATGGTGATCTTCACAAACTTCTGCAGCTCAGGGAGAAAGGAAGCCCAAGAGGTCCACAGCCAAGGTGCACCCCCAAAATTATGCCACTCGAAGATAGAACAGTTCTTGAAATATTTGTTCATGAGAAGTTGGCTCATGAGGAGGTCAGGCTGTTCAATAAGCCTCCACAGTTGTTTTAAAATCAAAGCCTTATTAAACAACTTTAGGTCTTTAAACCCAAAACCACCTTCAATTTTGGGCAAAGTAAGCTTGTCCCAAGCTAGCCAGTGCATACCCTTGTCTTTATTGACCCCCTTCTGCCACCAGAACTTGGCCATCAACCTACACACCTCCTTACATACACTAGCAGGCAAAACAAAGCAGGACATAACACACAAAGGCAGTGCACACAGCACACTTTTCATCAAAACCTTCTTCCCTGCAGTTGATAAGAAATGGTTCTTCCAGCTACAGATTCTAGCTCTCATAACATCAACAACAAACTGAAAAGTATCGATTTTAGTAGCACTAATCCCAAGGGGTAAGCCTAGATACCTAGAGGATCTCTTAACCTTGATCTTATCCAGAATAGCATATAGCCTGCCACTCAACTCTTCATTCCCATTTTTGCTCAAGAAAAGAGAGGACTTATGCGAATTCATTTTTTGGCCAACAAACAACTGTACTTAGAAAGAATCTCCAGCAACATGCCTGCATGAGCTTCATCAGCCTTACAGAAAACTAGTGCATCATTAGCGAACAGTAAATGGGAAACCATGGGTCCCTCTTTGGAAATTTTAATACCTCTGAAGGCACCAAAAGAAACCTTATGACTTAAGCAGGATGAAAAAATCTCAGAGACCAATATGAAAAGGTTGGGGGACAGGGGGTGCCCCTATCTAATCCCCCTTGAAGAATTCACATAACCGCACACCTTACCATTCAAATTAAAAGAGAAGGTAGGAGCAGCAATACAATTCATCACCCATTGGATAAATCTACCATGGAAACCCATCCTTTCCGTCACCTTCCTAATGCTATCCCATTCCACCCTGTCATATGCCTTTTCTATATCCAATTTTATGGCCATAAAAAACTGAGACCCTAATCTATGTCTATGAAGATAATGGAACATCTCATGGGCAATCACCACATTATCTAACAGAAGTCTACCAGGCATAAAAGCAGTTTGGGCATTATTAATACAAGCATCCAGAAAATGTTTCAATCTATCAGCCAGAAGTTTAGCAATAATCTTGTATGTAATATCCCGTCAGTTTATCAGTATAAATAATGTTTATAGTTCCGATATATTAATATTGTCGTGTATTAATTTTCGGAATTAATTAATTCAATCATTTCAGTCGAGATTACCGAAAATTATTTTCGACGTACCGTTTACGTTCGGAATAATTTTGGTAATTAAGCATTATGTTTAACTAAATAATTAAAAATAATTATGTGATTAATTAATAATTAATCACGAGCTTAAGTATTAAAGCCGTACGGAAAATCCCAATTCATTAAAATGCCGTGGCATTATTTTTAAGTGGGAAAAATCATTCCTTTTCCTTTAAACTCATGTATGTGGCATCATTATATGAGATTAAGGAGTGATTAAGCATGTATGTTGATGAGTAAGCTCTCTTATGTATTATAAGTGTGGCAAGTGGTGCAAGGAGAAGAAACCACATCACCCCTTCATCACCTCATCTCCTCTCGGCACCCTATATATAGCTTACTTTGGGAAAATTTTCCCAACTTTTCCTTAAGCGTATATAAGTCTATATTCAGCATACCATATATATTATAGAGAGTGAGAGTTAGTGTAGTTCTTGAGTATTTCATGTACGACAAGTAGCAGCAGCCGCACGGCGAAGCAACGTACGCATAGCCCATCGCACACGCACGCCATACGCGTCGCACATCACGCACGGAAGGCCGATTTTTCCGATCAGTTAGCTCACTCAGTCAGTTGTTGGAAAGGTAACTTCGGTACATTCATGTTTAAGTCATGTTAGTTGAAATTCGGATGAGTCATGTTCATGATATAGCTTAAGTTTGGTCTCGGCCGTGCGTGTGACGTGTGCTAGGCATGTTCATGTATAATTCAGCAATCCCTCGAGCAAGTCTTGTATGTTTAGTTATTTACGTGAAATCATGATCAGTCAGTTCAGGTTGCTCGGAGTATGTTCATGTTTATGCGGTGTTCGGCCAAGGGGACGTGGTCGCGCATATAGCGCACCACGGGCAGTGCATGTGCGTTGAGTATGGTTAGTTCAAATCCATCGAGTATATCATGCTATTTTATCCAGTAAATATTGATCATGTTCAGATGAGGTTGACTTGCCGAGAGATAAGTTAAGTTGGTCGAGAGACGGCCTTACGCCGTCGGCAGCGCACGGTGCGCTCGCCACGGCCATGTTCGGTTTATCGAGAAATTTTCATGTTTTCAGGTGAATTCAGTGTTTATGATCTTGTCATGTTAGTTTAAGTCAGTTCAGGTCAGATTGCTCGAGAGTTGTTGCCGGACAGCCGGCAAGGGCTGACCGTGGTCGCGCTGTCCGCACACAGCGGCAGCAGCGC